AAAGATACTCTAGAAGCTCTACACCATCACTCATAGCACAATAATGTACTATTCCACATCCGTTAAAATCTATGTCATCTTCTGAGAAAATACCAAACTGCTTAAGCTGATTAACTAATGCTACCTCTCCACTCTTACATGCTAATAATGATAAAGTCGATCCTTCTCTATTCACCTGAGACACGTTACACTTCTTCTTTAAAAACATAATCACGAGATCAACGTGACCACCCAGTGCTGAATAAAGCAATCCCGTGTTACCAGAGCTATCTGCTATGTCTGGATCAACGTGACATTCATTAACTAGATACTGCGCAATATTGAGATGGCCTTTATATGAGGCCATGTGTAAACTAATAACACCATCATCATCACCTTGTGAAGGATCGCAATGATAAACATCAATGAGGAGACAGAGGACATCAATGTGGCCACCATATGAAGCAGCTAATGGTGGACTCCATCCATTTTTACCTCTTTCCTGAAGGCCAGTCTTGTCAATCAATCGTTGCCCTTCATCTTTTAATCCTCTCCAACATGCTTCATTCAATGGAGTGCTGGTATTCTCATACCAGAGAGGATCATAAATATCTATATAATATATCATAAATAACGGTTAATAATGATAATTACCAATAAAAGAATCATGTAGCTTCTTTAATTGATTTTCTGGCAACTGTAATTTTAAAAGGTTACAATTATTATCTTAATTATTAACATACCTGCTTCATTTCATGTACATATTCATGACAAGTAATTTTTATGATTCCAATCTCAGCCAATGAATGACACTGTTGATTGGTTAATGGAAAGAGAACAGAATAAAAAAAATCAGGAATGGAATATTTTAATTCCATGCAGCCATTTTGAATTGTACAAAAATGAAAATTATATTCTGGAACTTCAAGTGCATCAGCGATTAGCTTGTGAAAGAAATATAAATCATTTAATGTGTAGTCGTCTCTGGCAACCTTAGCAATCATTACTTTAGTGCCTGGAACATCAGAAAGACCAAACTCAATTGAGTCTGCAATTTGAACTGCTGGAGTATTATTATTCTTAAAATAATCTTTTAATTTCTCCCGATATGTGGACCACTTCCTCTGTAAATCTCTCTCATCAGTAATGAAAGTATTGACTAACTTGACAACAAGTTCAAAATTAAACCACGAGACATTTTTCCGTAATGTTTTAAACAGCTGACTCATTGTTTTAACATGGTCAAACTCTTTTTCGATTGACTCAATCATTAGTGGTTTTTGAAAACGTGGACTGAGTAAAAGTGAGATGTAATGTTGAGTAAAATCAACAACTTCTGAGACATCAATAGAACAAAAAGACTTCTCTGTATGATACATATTATCAAGGTAAATTTCTTTTAGGTCTCCAATCATTCGTGCCATTGTATTTTTAGGTAAATATTCAATTGATTTTTTCTTAACGTAAACAACTGAAGACTCAGATTGAGGTGAAGTAGGAACTGGTAACTCAACAGTTGGAGTACCTTCTAAAATAAATAAATGATCATTGATTATCATATAATTTATTTACCTTTAGAAGATGAAATATCAACTGGTGATGTAGTAGCTTCTCCACTACTAATAAGATTAATGGCATATTCTTTTGCTATTTCATCAGCTAGAGCTGGATCAGCTCCTCCACTATTACTTTTAATGGAGTTACACAGCATTCTTAATGTAGGGACACCATGACTCTTATAGTCATAGTTCCTACTCAACCAGCAATCAAATACTTTCCGTAGACAAGTTCTTGGCGGCTTGCCTTCTGCTTCAATCTCATCTATCTTATTAGGGCTGATTCCTAACAGAATACCAATAGAGTCCCAGCGTCCTGAAAGAACACCAGCTTTTTCCCATACCAATTGAAAATCACTAATATCTATCATTAATAATACTAATAAAATAATTATTATGAATATCTACTCACTAAGTTCTCTGTCAAAGGCACTCTTCAGCTCCTCTGGTTTGGTTGACATTTTTGCTGAGGTAGAGCAGCTACGCCCTAGCAAATTTGCAAAGCACTAGCACTGCACTGAGCCCCACCCTAGTTATAAATAAACAATAGACTAGTTATTAAACTAGTTTAATAACTGACTCCGCCCCTCAGTACAATATGAATGAGCAATGTCTTGAGGAGAGGAGGCCAGGAGGAATGGTCAGTTTGAAGGAGAGAGAAGAGCAGTATCTCTTCTCTTTTCTTTTAATATCTCCTTGTAATGGCTGCCAATAGCTCCTTAAATCATTCATTCTCTCTATTTAGAGATTTTCTTTCTAATAGCCCGTTTCCTAGAAGAGAGCTCTTGTAGGAGAGCGGCTAAGGTGGGACAAAGACGGGCGAGTCTTTTCTGTTTGTTTTTGAAGAGAAGAGACACGCCATTACACGTGGTTACTCATTCTTGTTCTTTTTCTATCTTGTTACAGGTACTGATAGAAGAGTTGGAAGAAAAGGAGGTGAGAGGAAAGAGAGAGAAGAATCCTTCTCTTTCCTGAGCTCTGGGAAAGATGGAGAGATAGAGAAGGCTTTGGCCGTCTTTCTCTCTAGAGCGCCATCTTGTCCCCCAACCGTGTACTGTAAAAGTGGTGCTATTGGCCACTGAAGCTTATTTTGGTGTATCTATTGTTACTAATGTGTCTCT